CCAAGGGCTCCTCCATTATTGATGCCGCCAGCACAGCCCTGCGGCCGGAGGACACAGGGGGACCACAGGGGGACACAGGGAGGGGGATCAGCAAAGCTGCGAGTGCCGCAACACGGGGGGTGCGGCAGTGCAGACAGCAAAGCACACGCACATGTCTCGCCATGCGTGTGCAGGGCCCACACACCGTGCACACGCCTTGCCACGCACACGGCTCCTCACACGCGCAGACAGCGTGCACGCTGCACAGACACGCGGCACAACGGCGCACGAACACACCACGCACAGGCAGCGCATGCCATGCACACGCACCCCCCGGCGTGGTGCCCATGCGTGTCGCCCGCCCCCGCCTCGCACAGCCCCGGGCGCCTCGCACGGCCTTGCACGGCCTCGCACATGGCGGGGGGGGCGGTGCCTCCCCCGCACTGATTGCATCAGCCGGCGGCACGGCCCCGCACGGCCACGCATGAGGCACGGGGCCCTCGCACATGCCTCACACACCGGCATGGGCATGCACACGCATGCACTGCACCTTGCACATGTGTGCTGCACACCTGGTGCATGCGGGGATGCAACACGGGCGGTGTGGGAGTGCACCCATATGCAGAGGCACCATGCACACATGTTGCACACACGCTGCACAGGGAGACGCGCACAGAGCGTGCAGGCGGAGCTGCCACGTGTGCACGTCGCCTGCACACGCATCGCACACATGGTGCACGCATGGCACATGCACCCCCATTACACACGTGTGCACCCAGTCCCCATGACACACACGTGCATCCTCTCTCCCCATCCCATACACCTGCACCCCATTACATACGTGTGCACGTCCCCACTGTTACACACGTGTGAGCCCCACCCCCCCGTTGGGCCCATCGGGCACCCGCAGTCCTTTGCACACCCCAGCCCCTACGGCCTATAGGTGCCCCTGGTCCTCACCAGGCCCTATAGGTGCCATAGGGGCTGGCTGCAGGCTGGGGGGGGGGGCACGCAATTTGGGGGGTGTTGGGGCACCTCATGCAACCTCCTTGACGGTTGGTGTAAGTGCTTACGGGGGCGGGCCGCAGGCGGGGGGGGGGGCACGCAATTTGGGGTGTGTTGGGGCACCTCATGCAACCTCCTTGACGGTTGGACTCGATGATCTTAGAGGTCTTTTCCAACCTTAACGATTCTATGATTCTATGCCCCTCCTGTCCCCCCCAGCCCCCCGAGGCAGCTCCACACCCTCTGTGAGTCCTGACACCAGCGGGGCCAAATGAAACAGCTGTGGGTGCAGGGCACACCCCGCGTCACTGGGGGTACCCTGCAGCGCCAGGCACTGCCGCAGCCTGCGGCAACGGGCCCTGCAGCAGCGCCATGCCATGCCAGGCTGTGCCATGCCACAGGCGCTGGGGCACATCCCAAACCTGCACCACACGACATCCCCTGACACCACGTCCTACCCGGGGAACCCCACTCGGCAGCGCGCCCTCAGCTGTGGCACGCGGTGCACTGTCTGTCACATGTGTCCTGTACATGACACGCGCACAGTGTGCACC